TTTTTTGGTTTTTCTCCGGTACCGGGAACCGAACTCACGACCTTGCACTTGCCAGGCAGGCGCTTTTGCCGCTGAGCTAAATCCCCAGCCCCTTATTTTGTCTTTTTAAGACAAGGTCTCGCCATACAGTTCAGGCTGGCCTTGAACTCACAACGATCCTCCTGCCTCAGCCTCCTGAGTGCTGGGATTACAGGCATGTGCCCACCACGCCCGGCTCAAGGTGGAGGTTTATTTCTTATGCATATCGCAAGCCAGTGTAATAGCGGTGTAGTCATTTAGGGACCCAGGCTCCAACTGATGGTTCCTGAACCTTCCACTGCTGGCATCTGGCTGCATGAACATAGACAGGGACGGGGAGGATGCACAACTGCTGCTGCTTTTTTTCTTTTCTTCTTTTGCAGTGCTGGGGATCAAACCCAGGGCCCTGCTCATGCTGGGCAAAATGGTTCACCACTGCGCTAAAGCCCAGCCCCCTCACAAGCACTTTTAAATATCACGGTCCACCCTTCCTTGTGATAGTTAGCTACATGGCCCCACCTTGATGTGAGGGAGTGGGGCAGGCAGTGTAGAAGAGCGCCAAAGTCACAAGGAGCTAAGGAACTTCCTGGAGCCGTGCTAGAGAAGGCTAAATGAGGTAACACGTATAAAACACTTAGGAAAAGGCCTGGCTCCTTGCCAAGGCCCAATAAATGCAGCTGCTAAATGATTAGGCCTGTGGGGGTAGACAAAGGCAAGGACCCCTGCCTCTGTTTGACCGTGAAAAGACAGAATCAGAGAGGCCATGTGGTTCACTGAGGTCACACAGCATGGCCTTGGGTGGAACCTGGCTTATAAACCGAGGTTGCTGCCCTCAGATCTGTTGTTCTTTTTGGTCCTTTGGGGGGAGGTTTGCAGAGGCTTGATGCTGTGGGTGGGAGAGGGGAACAGGCCTGACGAGGGGAGGCTTCTTGGTCACCCCTGACCGTCACAAGGGCAGGTTCCTGGTGCTTTGGTACAGCTCCTGAGCAGTTGGTCTTGACTCAGCAGCAGGGCCCCGTTCCTCGCTGTCAGCCTTCAGTTTCCACGCCATTAACTGCAGCCCTGCTGGGGCTGGATCAGATGGGCTCCTCTCTCCTCTCCCCCACCCCACACTCCCCCAGCGTGTGCTGTCTATGGTACTTTCTATGTGACCTTAAGCAAGTGCTGTTCCTCTCTGGGCCTTGTTCTGCCATCTGTAGGACAAAGGTTTTGGACTCAGCCCTCCTGCCCGCCTGATGTCCTGGAATCTACCTTGTCTGTGGATTCCCAGCTGCTTCTCATAACTAGGCTCCAAGCCCGTTGTGTGGCTGCAGATCTTGGGAGTGTCCTGGGCCAGCCTCAGTCCTGCATGAGAAACCCACAACATCCCCCATAGTGCCGGTCCAGCCCAAGCCTTCATTCCAGGAATGAAGGGAGACCTCATTCTCTCCTGGGTGCCCTTCCAGTCTGTCAGAAAGGTCTTTGTTTTTTTTTCCCTTAGTACTAGGGTTCGAACCCTGAGGTGCTCTGCCACTAAGCTACATCCCTCGCCCTTTTTATTTTTTATTTTGACACAGGGTCTTGCTAAATTGCCTAGGCTGGACTTGAACTTGGACCCTCGTGCATCAGCCTCCCAATTAGCTGGGATTACAGCATGCATCACCTCCTCCGGCTAAAAAGTCCTTGACGTTGGCGGGTATCTGCTTCCCTCCAGGGAGGCTGGCTTAACCCTGGCCCCTGGGTTCCCCATGTGTCTGCACCTCTTCCTGTGTGTGCTCCAAGCCCGTGAACCTGGCTATGCTAAATGCCTTACTGCTTCTAGGCCAGCTTAGTCCTCACAGCAATCCTAGGGGATGTGAGTGCATTATTAGTCCCACCTTTTTTCTTTTTTTTTCCTGGTACCGGGAATCGAACTCATGACCTCGTGCTTGCCAGGCAGGCGCTGTGCCACTGAGCTAAATCCCCAGCCCCTTAGTCCCACCTTTTAAAAGCTTGACTTGAAGAAGGTATGATTTGGCCAACATACACTGTAGTCAGGTCTGAGTCTGCTGTTGATCATGTTTGTTCATTTCTCCTTCCCAGTACTGGAGATTGAATCCAAGACCTAGCCCATATCCAGCCCTTTTTAAAAATTTAAGGCAGGTTCTTGCTAAGTCACTAAGTTGCTCAGGCTGGGCTCAAATTTGTGATCCTCCTGCCTCAGGCTCCCAGAGCATGTGTGCCACCCAGCCCAATTTGAGTCACACTCTGTTTTTTCCTTTTTTTTTGGAGATGGGGTCTTGCTATGCAGTTTAGACTTGCCTTGAACTCACTATGTAGCCCAGGCTAACCTCAAACTCATGGCAATCCTCCTGCCTCAGCCTCCTGAGTGCTAAGATTACAGGCGTGCACCACCACGCCTGTCCAATCATACTCTTTAGATCAGTCTTAGCAGTATTATCCCACTGGAGTAAGTCTGGAAATGGTGGGAGTGTTACCACATTAAGTGTGCTGGGATAAATTAATTTAACCTATTTATTACTACCACCCATGCACATAGAAGCTTATAAAGGGCCTAGGAGAGATCACAGAAAGGAGACCTTTCAGATGAGGGTCAGTCCTTCTGGGGTTTTAAGGATGAGTAAGAGTTCACCAAGGGACTGGGGATTTAGTTCAGCAGCAAAGCTCCTGTCTGGCAAGCGCGACGTCGTGAGTTTGATTCCTGATACCGGATGAAAAACAAAACAAAACAAAAGAGTTCACCAAATGCGGAAGTGAGGGGGCATTCGAGGCAGCAGAATTAATGGCCCACATCCAGACAAGAGCAGAAAAAAAAAAAGAAAAGGACAAGGAGCAGGCAGGGCCTCAGCTGCACAGGCCTCTCACCCCGTCTTTCCTTGTCTCCCCAACCCAGACGGGGCAGTGGTGTGCATGCTCCAGTTCCCCAGCCCCAGCTGGTACTGGGACACAGTGACCAAGATCTGCGTGTTCCTGTTCGCCTTCGTGGTGCCCATCCTCATCATCACCGTGTGCTACGGCCTCATGCTGCTGCGCCTGCGCAGCGTGCGTCTGCTGTCGGGCTCCAAGGAGAAGGACCGCAGCCTGCGGCGCATCACGCGCATGGTGCTGGTGGTGGTGGGCGCCTTCGTAGTGTGCTGGGCGCCCATCCACATCTTCGTCATCGTCTGGACCCTGGTGGACATCGACCGGCGTGACCCTCTAGTGGTGGCCGCGCTGCACCTGTGCATTGCCCTGGGCTACGCGAACAGCAGCCTCAACCCCGTGCTCTACGCCTTCCTGGACGAGAACTTCAAGCGCTGCTTCCGCCAGCTCTGCCGCTCGCCCTGCGGCCGCCCGGAGCCTGGCAGCTTCAGCCGGGCGCGCGAGGCCACAGCCCGCGAGCGGGTCACTGCCTGCACCCCCTCCGACGGCCCGGGCGGTGGTGCCGCGGCCTGACTGCGTCCCTCCCCCTGCGACCCTCCGAGGAGACCGCGGAGGCCCCCGGGAGGTGGAACCACCGTCGGGACCGGGCAGTAGAGGCTGGGGAGGCTTGGGCCACTGGATGGGGTCTCTGTTTTGGAAAAGAGCTGGGGACTTGGGGTCAGGTAGTGGCCGCGAGATGGGGCCTGTGCAGTGGGGTGGCCTCTGGATCCAGTGGGAGACGAATGCCTGATCAAGGCCCTAGGCTGGGTGGGGACAGCTAGCTACTGCAGGGGCGTGGGACCTGCAGCGCTAGAACCAGGGCCCTTAAGAGGACCTGTGCAGTGGGCAGGGGCTCGACCTGGGGGCAGCCTTGGGTTCTAAACCCTGCAGGGCTTTGGGGCATCAAGGTCTGGTCTGGAATCTGGCGAGTCCGCACCCAGGACTAGGAGGGGCAGAGGTGGGCCGTGGCTTGAAGACCAAGCTGTGAGGTGGCCCAGTGGGCAGGTGGAGGGATGGGACAGGCAGGCTGGCGACCACTCAGGTTTGTCACCAGGCAGAGGGTCTGTGTGCAGGAGGTTGGGCCTCATGTTTGGGGTCAAGTCCCAGCCCCAAGTTCTAGCAACAGGTGGGGACTCCCTGGGGTCGGGGTCCAATTTGACATCTTTATAAATAAAGAGAAAACAAAAGAAATGGAAGAGAGGAAGAGAGAGAAGCAACATGCCTTTTCACTCCCATGGTCACTGATTTCCTGGGAATGGTCAGTGATGCCTAAGAATGGAAGCAGTGTCCATAGCAGTGTCCAGTGGATCTTGGGACGGGACAGTGGAGTAGGGCTGGCGGCTCCCAGCTGGGGGAGGGGGACAGGCCTCAGTTGGAGTAGTGTCCCCAGAACCCAGTACTTGAAGCTCAGAAAGGAGCACGAAGGTCCTGGGGCTCCAAAACCCCAACTGCATGGGCCTTTGTGCCGGGGCAGAGGTGGTGGTCAAGGGCCAAGGCAGGGAGTCAGGGCTCGTGCTCTGAGGTTAGTCGTCCAGCCTGAGCGGGGACACTTCTGGGGAGCTCCCAGGGCCCTGGTGTCTGTGGCTGAGTGCCAGAGCGCGGAGAGGATGACCTATTTAGAGCCCCTTCCGTGGCGAGTGAATTGGGGGAGAGTGGGCACCAAGATGCCCGTGCAGATTTCTGGACCCCTGGTAAGAACCTCAGCATTCTGTCCCCTGCTCCCAACATCTGCTGTGCTCCACGCGTATGGTGTCAGTGCCTCTGATGAACTGGAACTGCCCACGTGGGGCCTGATTTGGGGGACTTGCGGGAAGATGGCCTGTGCTGCCCTCCCCTGTGGCCCTGGCCTCCCCCACCTGCTGCAGCCCACCCAGCTCCACCTTCAGGCTGCTGACTTCCGGGCCGCCCAAAGCCAGACATAGAAGTGCCTATCAGGCACCGCAGACCTTTCCTTCCCTTGGTGTCAGGGTCTGTCCTTGGCCCCCATGCCTCCCCAGCCTCCTCTCCCCACCCTCTCCCACCCTGCCTCAGCAAGACACCCCTGGTTCCCTATTGAAGCAAGTGCTGACATCCTTGTAAAAACAAATTTAATTTTCTTCCTTTTTTGGGACAGATGGGAAGAAATTGACGCCTTTGTCTCAAACCAAAAAAGAAGAAAAGAAACAATATACCTCTTTTCCCTTTGACAGCCATTTTTTAGGAACAAAAGCTGGGAGCTGTCACTCCAGCAGGGACTGAACTAGTTTTTTTGGGGGGGAACACCAAGATGGGCTTTGTGCACATTTAAAGGGTGAGAGTCCTTTCAATGGCAAAGCACAGCCTTCGTCTCAGGGCAAGGTCCCCTGAACCCTGGACCTGGGGACTTTCTTCCAGGAAGTTGTTCTCCTGGGACCTAGATGGGGGGCAGAGACCATCACTCAGCTGCAGCCCCCAAGCTACCATGTGCTGGAGTCCCAGTCCACTCGTAGCTCAACTGGCACCACACAGATGGGCCCTGTGACCAGAGAGTTGCATTTGGAGGGGGAGTCAGCAAGGAAGGGGACATCCTGAACACGGCTTGACATTTGGGACTTCTCCTGTTAGTGCTTGGGGGAAATGGCAAAGAAAGAAGATAATTCAGGAACCGGAGAAGGCTCTTGAAGTAAGTGGGGGCAAGGCTGTCGATTATTTTTGTTTGTTTGTTTGTTTTTTCCAGTACTGGGAATTGAACTCTCGGCCTTGCGCTTGCCAGGCAGGCGCTGTGCCGCTGAGCTAAATCCCCAGCCCCAAGGCTGTTGATTCTTGCAAGTGCTGTGTCATCACACACACACCCCACACATACCACAGACCTGTCTCTGAGCCGCTCTAAGCCCACTCACTGCCATCTGACTGCCTCTCGCCCCTCCTAGAAGATATATAAGTTTGTCCTGGGGTCAGCAGGGGCTGGATCCCGACCAAGTGCATGTAAGGTAAAGCACTTTTGCATTGAAATCTGCTTCCTGCCAGCCTGGCACATATGGCCCTGCCCTCAGAAGCCTTGAGCTGGTGGATAAGCATGATTGCATCCCAGTGTGATGAGCGCAAGGACAGAGAGCCCTAGGGAGTAGGTCATAGGAAGTGCCTTTTGTATCTAGTTAACTAAGAACAGGTGTGTAGCAATGCCATGAGGGGTGGAAAAAGGTCAGGGGTCCTTAAAGGATGAATAGGAGTTGGCCACCAATGGGAAGGAAGTGTGTGCAAAAACATGAGATGTTCAAATGCTTGGCAAACCCAAGAAATTATGTGCAACAGGAACACAGGATCTAACTGAGCACTTCCTTGTGCCTGGCTCGATGCCAGGTGTGCTATGCACATTATCCCAGCAGAGCCTCAGGGCAGCCCTACTACGGGGGAAGTAGTGGTATCCCCATTTCAGATGAGAAGGCTAAGGGTCTGAGAGGTCCAGCCACTTACCTCTGGGTCACAGACCTGCCATTAGTGGCAGAACCTAGATCAGTGGAATTCCAGGGGAAGTTCCGAGGTCCGAGTTTGCCGTAAATTCCAGGCATCGCTGAAGTAAAAAGACGTTAGGAGCTGGAGCCCTGGGATGAGGTTTTTGAGGGCTTAAGACAAAATGGAGCAATCTGAAGGAAAAGGGCAATTTTCCATGAACTTTTGTTCCTCTTGAAGCTCTCCAAATCTCATTTCAAAATGTACTGTGCATGATGCAGTTTTAATGCTCTAAATTGACAGTGTAATTCTAGATCATCACCAGGTTCTGAAAACTGCGGAGTAGGACTCCTTCCTCCAAAATTTCCATTCCCCCCCCTCTCTAGGAGTGGGAGGGAAGTTTTTGCCCCTGGTTTAAAAATGCCCTACATTTCCCCACCTGTTCTTGAAGTAGCGGGTCAGGCTGGCATCAGATCTTGGTGTTCCCTCCCTGAGCCTCTGTGCCCCCGTCGGCAGTATGAACACCCTTCAGGAGTAGTTGTGCGGATTAAGTGAGATGATGTGCGTATAGCTACAGGCTCATCACGTAAGGATGCTCTTGGCACACGATAAGTGACTGTTACTGAGCTGGAATACGAAGCAGGGCTACAGGCCTACAAGGAAATTGGTGAGCTCACGGGGGTAGCAAGAAAGAGAAGAAGAGGCTGGGGACCCCACCTGGGGATCCCCCTGCTTCCTAGGCTTAGGAGCCACAGTGGAGAGTGAGAAGCCATGGGAGAGGCAGGAGGAGGATGGGGAGAATGTGCTGCCATGGAAACTGGAGGAGGAGGGCGTTGCCAGGAGGAGGGAGTGATGGGGAATGTCAAGTGTCAGAAGAGGATGGGGGTGGGGAGGACAGGAGGCCGATGGGAATAAATTGGTGCCCTCAACTTCAGTCTCCCGCGTGCCTGGGAAACCCCAAGCTGAGTTTCAAATCTCAACCCTGAAGCTGAGTGGCTGTGTGAACCAGGCAAGGGGATTTGCCCCCTCTGTGCTTCTGCTTGCTCCTGGATCCAACACAAAGGACTGGGTTAGTCTCTAATATGACAGTCAGTCTCTAGCAAGATTCCTGGGTTTGACGGATTCTTGGCTACTTGGTAGAAGTAAGATTTTAGGCCCTTTTGCAAGCCAAGTGCCTACCAAAGTGCTGGCACCTGGTAGGCCCCAACACAGGGTTATTCTCCAGTAATTGTGCAGATGCCAGAGGTATCTGCTGGAAGGAAGGGGGCTTGGCTTGGAATGTTAAATGCCTTCCCGGTGGAGGAAGGTCAATAGGATCAGAAGTTCAACCAGCATACTGGCAGCAGCAAGAGTCCTGGGTCGAGCAGGGCGTGGTGGCGCACACCTTTAGTCCCAGCACTCAAGAGGCTGAGGCAGGAGGATTGTGAGTTCGAGGCCAGCCTGGGCTACAAAGTGAGTTTAAGACCAGCCTGAACTGCATGGTGAGACCTTGTCTCAAAAAGACAAAAAAAAAAAAGTACTAGGTTGGCATCTGGTGGGTCTCAGTCCCCCCTTCTTTGTATCAGTGACAGATCCTGAGACGGGGACTACAGACCTGGAGTGGGAACCTAGAAATGGGCTCAGAGAGTGCAATGTCCTGCCCAGACCTAGAAATGCCAAACCTGCTTCAGTTTCCTCATCTGCAAAGTGGAGGTAATAAAAATAAAGCCTATTTTATACTCAGGCTGGGAAGATTAAGGAGCTCTATGTAATTTGGTACATAGACCTTTGGTACATAGAGCTTTCCTGGTACCGGAAATTCCAAACCTGCCCAGACCTAGAAATGCCAAACCTGCCAAGAAGTGACAACCACCGACCAGGTCCTGGCCCCAGCGCTCACACAGGAAACACACAGAGCTGTCTTTCACCATTTATTTATTTGTTATTATTTATTCCTTTATTTCACGTTTGCACACCAGGCAGGTGACGCTAGGAGCTGGCAGGAATGATGGGAGTTGGGACCACTCAGAGCTTGCGGATGCGGGTCATGCCAGGATGCTGGCTGTGTGGCTCTGGGTCTCTGGCTGGAGGCAGCTTGGGAATTCAAAGCCGAGCTTCCAGAGAGCTGCTGAGGTCCTTCCAGGCCGGCAGGCTGATACCTCAGAGTG